GAGGGAGCGGCGCCGCTAAGTTAAAGGGTTAGTTCACCCAAAAATGAAAATTATCCCACAAATTACTCACCCTCAAGTCATCCTAGGTGTATATGACTTTCTTCTTTCAGACGAATCCAGTCGGAGTTATATTAAAAATGGTCTTTGATATTTCAAGCTGTTTAATGCAAGTGTGTAATGCAAGTGAAGCCATTGCGTTTCGATCCCAGTATAGGTCATAAACCCCGCCCTCTCCGTGCAATCTAATGGGACATGGGACAAAATAATTAGTTACATTTCTCTTCAAATAATTTTTTTCCAAAGATGGCTTTTGTCATTTGATGTAGATTTTATCACGCTGATGTAAGTTCAAGTGTTCGTTTTTTAAATAATTTTGGTTTTAGTTAGTTAAGTGATGCTATAAAAACAGGAGTGTGACGTCATGATTGAGGGTCAGGGGCGTATGCTTGCGATCGACTCTGCGGGAGTGTGGGCGGGACACGGCTCCACTTCGCTCGCTACTGCGCAGACTCTGGTCCCGAGTTCTCTACTGCGCAGACTCCGGTCCCGAGTTCTCTACTGCGCAGACTCCGGTCCCGAGTTCTCTACTGCGCAGACTCCAGTGTCATGAGAAATCGAGTCCCCCCTTGAATCGGGACACTTATGTTACTATTTCGTTGTGAATATATGTATGGTAAGTGCAAATGAGTGGTGTATAATCTAACCTAGCAGGCTAATCGGGTAGCTGTATGCTATGCTAGTATGTGAGCTAACCAAAAAAAACAATAAAAACGAGAAATGTTTGATTTCACAACCTATAGCTTCGGATACTAGCCTATGAAACATGTAATTTAAAAGAAATTAATGGTCATTATAACGAAGTTCAAACGACATAAATCAAAGCGCAGGAATTGTAATCAGGCACTAAAAATAATACCCATTAAAAGTTCGTCAATGGGATCACTCGGGGTCCTAAGCGGACCCGATTTCGAGGGGGGACTCGATTTCTCATTACACTGGTTCCAAATCAGCACAATATGGCCCTGTTGGGACAATGGCGGCTTGCGATTTTGTAAGAAAAATATCCATATTCAAAACGTAATAATCACTTTAATGGTATTATTTACATATGATTATCTTTATTTCTCCCACCAGATGGAACCACTCTGCTTTCCATACATTGATTGTTTTTAAACACCTTTTCTCTATTTTTTTTAAACAAACTTTCATTTCATTAAAAGATGTCTCTTCGGTCTGTTTTGAGCTCTCTAACTGAGAAATGCCAAAGGTTTAATATCAAAACGACAGCATTTCATTCTGAAAACATCACTGCAATATAGCACCACAGTCCTTGCAGGAGTGTATATAAAAAAACCATAAAACACAATAAATGTATATAAAACACAATAAACGTTACAGTAAAATGGTAGTATATGGAATAGATCTGTGTCAATAGCTTATGTTTCTTTGCAATAGAATATTTTTTAAGTATGCAGACCTGTATATGAACATGTTTTATAACGTATCATTTTCTCTGTTTAACCATTTGTTTGTGTTCCATCTTCTGTCAGGGTGATTCAAAAGAAGAACTGGTGGTTTTTTTTGTTTTTTTTTACTATTTATCTTGTTCAGTTAGCTGTTTATTCTCATATTTAGCCTAAAAGGTGTAATGTTTACTTTTCCTAAAAGGATGTCATTCATTATTTAATTTAGTATAGATCATGCTGTTAGACAAGAAATATTTTCTGCATAAAATGATAAATCCTAAATTCCTAAATTAGACATTTTGCTTTGAAATGTACATTTTTAAATAATACATAAAAGAGAGAAAAACTTGTGTTTGTTCGGTTTGCAAAATTATTTTGCAATTTGACCTATGTTTCAGTTTCTTCAGATGATTTCTTTATCTTCATTCTGGAAAAATACCTTCTGTCCAATAGAGGGCAGAAACTGATTAGATTTATTCCAAGCCTGACAGAAAAATAACAGCCTTAGTTCTTATCAAATAAGTCGTTCAGCTGCACAATATATGTGCTTTGTTTTGGTGAAAACACACACACACACACACACACTCAGGTTTGTTTTTATGGTTTATGGGGACTTTCCATAGGCGTAATGGTTTTTATACTGTACAACCCGTATTTTCTATTGCCCTACACCAACCCTACCCCTAAACCTACCCCTCACAGGAAACCTTCTGCATTTTCAGATTTTCAAAAAAACTCATTCTGAATTATATATATAAGCTTTGAATTACGGCGACACTGAAAATGTCCTCATAAATCACCTTCTCGTTGTAATACCTATGTCATACCCATGTTATTATGCAAATTTGTGTCCTCATAAACCACATAAACATGCACACACACACACACACACACACACACATTATAGAGATTACAATTAGTTGCTACACACTAGCAAACCCCCATTTGCACACATTTGTTCACTGCTGGTTTTAGAACAAACTTGGTCATTTAGTTTCCAATTTGCTCTCCTGGAGAAATAGCTTTTTTTAAATAGCCATATTTCCAAAAAACACCCCATCATGTTGAAAATAAATAAATAAAATAAACTCCAGATAAGACAAATGAATGTTATAAACACAATAAGAACCGTTGTCTGCATCTGTTTTATTCATCTGTGTGCAGATCTTCATCTTATAGCTTATTGAATGTAGAACAAGATGTTTGTGCCACAATTCATTATATTCTCTGAGGTTTCTCCTCCCTTATGCTCCTTGTGCAACACACAGAATAAAACAGCGTTTACTGCATGAAAAACACTTGAGCTGTGTAGCAGAGATGAATAATGCAGCAGCTGCAATGTGGATATATTGTTTTGTTTTCATAATCACTTCAGCCAAATGTTGGTGTGAAGCAGATCATTTCAAATCTTTTTTGTTATATGTTGTGCTGCCATGGGTTTGTCTTTCACTAAAGGTTTTTAGATTTGATAAGGCACTGAACTGAAAGAAATGCGCAGATATAGTTTTATTTTCCTTTCACTCCCTCCCTCCACTGCATTTTAGTTTTCTCACACATCCTATCTGGAAAATAAGTTCAAAGACGATTTTTTATTCACCAGTGCAAGATTCTGTTTTGAAGGGCTCTTAAAGCATGAAATGGACTTTATGTAACAGCTCAAAATAGTCACTAGTGAAGGGTATGCAATTGTGTGCGCACTTGTGGCGCTATCCGCCCACCAGAGTTGTCATGGGACCATTTCATATGGCCCCTGAGTGATCTGAACTGAACTGAGCTGGACGATGACAACACTGAATGAAAGATGAGCTGACTTTAACTGGAAAATTGACTGTTTACTATTGACCTCTTGCATTATCGGCACACTGTTTTCCTGTTATGATACTGTAAAGCTGCTTTGACACAATCTGTATCGTCTAATGCACTATATAAATAAAGGTGACTTGACTTGAGTCACATGATATTTATGGCTCAGGTAATTGACTCAAAAAGTTCTGTGGCCCCATGAGCAACGATGGCAGATTTGAAATCACGTCCTTCCAGTAGGTCTTGCAGTAGTCATGCAAATGCCATAAAGATTTATGGGAAAGCTAATGAATAATGAAGAGTGATCAGTCACATGCCATTTACAGCTTAGGTGATTGGCTCTAAAATGTTTCCAGAGCTGAAAGCCTATCAGCATCCAGGCTGTCTCCTGACATTATCAATAAGAGTTTTGCACAAGGCTGATGATAAATGGACACCACCTGGTCCACAGGGCTAAAGGCACACCATAAGGAAAATCTGCTTTTCGCTACTCCCATAATGTACGATTGCAGAAAAAAAATCTGTTTTTATTGATCATTTATGGAGCAACACATTTTGTGAGAAAATAAATAAGGAAAGAGGTTTGTTTAGTTTAAAAATCATACAAATGCAAGAGTTTTTTCCTCCACACTTGGGTTAAAACGATCACTTTAACTAAGCTTGTACTATTTTCTGTTTGTTTTGATAAATAAAATGTATTTTTGTTCAGTAAATATAATGCTAGTTTAATATGTTCAGTTTAAAAAAAACTGAAAATGGGAAAGATTCTTAAAGGAGATCCTCATAATAATTTAATATGGTTTTCAGCAGTAACAATAAATATTATATTATAAAACGGATAGTTCCGGTCCTTGATTCTGATTGGCTGAGAATCAAAGCTGTTGTAAATTACTTTACAAACACACACCTTTGTTAACGTTTGCGTGTTGCTCTGCAACCACTTTGTTGCAACCACAACTGATTCTGAGGAACTACATTGTTTGGTGGAAGAATACTGTTTTTATTAATATCATTACACTTTATATGCTCTGTTTTATTTTGTGAAACCTTACTACGTATATGGAATAACCGTTTTATAAAAGCAATAACCCCGTGAAGCCGTGGTTTACAATGAATTTATAACAGCTTTGCGTTTTTGCCTAACAACGCCCCTTAGCTGTTATAAATTCACGAATTCCGGTCCTTGATTCTGATTGGCTGAGAATCAAAGCTGTTGTAAATTACTTTACAAACACACACCTTTGTTAACGTTTGCGTGTTGCTCTGCAACCACAACTGATTCTGAGGAACTACATTGTTTGGTGGAAGAATACTGTTTTTATTAATATCATTACACTTTATATGCTCTGTTTTATTTTGTGAAACCTTACTACGTATATGGAATAACCGTTTTATAAAAGCAATAACCCCGTGCAGCCGTGGTTTACAATGAATTTATAACAGCTTTGCGTTTTTGCCTAACAACGCCCCTTAGCTGTTATAAATTCACTGTAAACCACGGCTTCACGGGGTTATTGCTTTATTTAATGATGTCGTGGTTTCATTATAAATATGGTGATTACCCAACCACGTCATGTCATCAAAGGGAAAAGTCAGTCATCTAGTTATTATCTTACCCCAATTATTATCTTATTATTTTATCCCGATGCGCCTTTAGCTCCATTGTACCCTACTGTATATACTGTGCATTAAGCAGGCTCCTCCAGACAGAGGAAGACTCCATCTTCATGATTAGACAGCAGTTGCAGGATGACCAGCATTGTAGCCATTCACAATCATCCCCCTCAAAGATCGAGTCCTGAAGGACCCATCAGGGTAGATGGTGTCTGGCTTGTGTTCACAGCGGAAGAACATGAGAAAGCCATTCCTGTAATTCTGGTTCATCCAGCCGTAGAGCAATGGGTTGACAAAAGTCGAGCACATCGCCACGATGTGAAACAAGGTGTAAATGAGTTTGTATTCTTTGAACTTGAGAATCAAGTCGAGATCGCTAGCCAGCTGAAACACGTGGAAGGGAAGCCAGCAAACAGCGAAGACCACGACCACCAGCGCCAGCATCTTCGTGGTCTTCTTCCGGCGGCCGATGCCATCACTGCGGTTGGAAGGGCTGACGTGGTTCTTCAGTTTGATCCAGATGCATACGTAAGCGTAGCTGATGATCGCCAGAGGAACCACATACTGCAGGAGAAGCATTGATAAACTGTAGATGACGGCGTCCCGATTGGTGCTGTTGAGCTGATGGGTATATTTCTAATGTTCCTTACAAAAAAGTATTGCCTCCATTTTTTACTGAGCTATCTACAAGCAGCTAAAGAGCTTTGAAGGTGTGTGCAAAAGGGTTTTGGCCATAAAAATAAATGTATTTTTCTGCTTGGCTTCATAATATAACCAATTTGGTACCAGGCTTTAACACTTTAAAGTCAACTTAAAAAAGGCAAAACAAAGGCTAAAACATAGCCTAAACAGTTGTGTGGCTATTGATTAATATTACGAAACATGCGCTGTGACCATGTAATGAGAAAACAAGGTCAATCTTAATTTTGTGTTGACTTCAAGTGACAAAAGAGGACATTGTTAATTTACAGTAGGATGTGCTTTTATTTCAGTTCACGTCCTGCAGGTTTTTTTTTTTGCAGAGTTTGTCCCCCAGAGACACATGCAAGACGCTATTCATCAAAAGGTCATATCCCTTAAGACACATGGTCTTTCCTTTCAATGTTCATTCATTTGGACAAGTCATCGACTATGTGCAGAATATGAAAGTCCATTCACTTATTTCTAATAGATCAAGACTAGAAATAGGAATGTTGTTATCTCTCTGCATTTGTATCGACTCTTTCCAGAAGGCATTCTGTGTTTCATATTATGCAAAGTGTTACGTTAATGAATATCAAGTTGGAAAACTGCATTTTGAGATAGAAACCAATGGAAAAACACTTCAGCCCAGAATTGTCACTATTTTTTATTTTATTTTTTTGACTGCCTCTCTGTTTGACTGCCTGTTTGTGTGTCAACACAAATAAACACAAATAAAAGGCTACAGGGTCTGTTGATTGTCTCCCTCAAGCATCCCTCATGATTCAGCTTTACTGTCATTATGATGTTCTGCTGGGGATGCTCTTCCTCCACATCAAGAGCTCTTGGAAGCCCCATTAATGACGTGCTAACTCATCATGAGGACTGCTCTTAGTGTACCAGATACTCGTCCAGCTGATGTAATCAAATGCTTTATGATTGTATCTCTGCAACTATAAAAACAGCATTGTACGTAATGTAAATAATAAAAATTACACATAACAGTACCGCGTAAGACTGTCCTAGGAATGATACTCTGGGGTTTTGTAAACACATAACCGATATCTCAACAATCAACTGCAAAAAGGCTAACAAAGTTCAGAATTTAGGAACCGGCTCCGTTTCAGGAGTTTGAATTGAATTGGCCACGTCCCACAGAATGTTGAGTTGGAATGACAGGAAGAGAAATGTACTGAAATGCATGGCAAAGAAATTCACTGAGTAATCACATGTATTTCCCTAAATTCACATGTATTGCCCTAAATGTCCAAAGTTAACACAGCCAAAATCAAAACAAATAATTATGCCATGCTGCATTGCAAAAATGTAATATACATTTGAGTTTTATTACAATTATATAAATATATTAAATATTACGTTAATAGGCTATTAATATTTCATCAAGCATGTAACATTAAATATGTTTAAAAAAACTATGTTTCATTAAATATGTAAAATGTGTAACATTTAATAAATACACATGTGAATTTATTTACATATGCTGTATACTGATGGCTATATTTTGATCGCCTTGCGGTAAGTCTGGAAAATGAAAATGTTGCTTAAAAATGTAGATATGGTCATTTCTTACACAAAACATATAGAAACTAAGTATGTTGTAGCCTATTTAGGTGGCATTTCATGCCTGGATATTAATATCATAATATTGCTTGCAATATCTCATATGTCGATGGTAATTCACACTGAAAATTGCATGTATTATTAAAAAATACACTTAAAGCTGTTATATGAATTTCTTCGAAATTCATTGCATCTTAATTCTTAAACGCAAATTCGAATTAATATTCTGACGTGCATTGACACAGACACCTGCCACGTGCCATATTTAATTGAAAACACATTTCTGCATCCTACTGAATATTACAGAACACCTAAAAACAGCGAACAATCCACTCACCTTATATATCAGATATCACCCCTATAATAACCGGGATGATAGCGCAGCACGCGCGGTAAAGTTCACGCATCCCCGCTGCACGCGACAGCTTCACGCTATTGTCCCCTTCAGGATCAGCTTCATCCTCGGAAACAACACAGAAGCATAGCGTACTAAATGCATATCCATGAGTGGGAAAAGAAACGCACTTTTCTTTTTTAAAACCACCAGCTGTAGGCAAGTGAACTTTAGGTGCATGAATGCATGCAGGCTGTGGGAGGATCTGCTCTAGTGGAGGGATCTGTCTATGCAATGTGACGCTCTTCTATACACTGATCAAATCAAATGAGATATGATTGTGATGTGTGTGTCATGATATATGCATTAAGACCTGTGGTACATTGTTTGACAGTTGAATTGGGATGACATGCATAGCTCTATTTCAGTAATGAATGTCACCCAAAGAGCTTCTAATTATAACATCCCCCTGGCATTTTCAGGGGGACAAAGTGTTATATCATTCTGACTCGTGAATAACTGAAACTGTCAAACTGACAGCATGCAGTAAGCGATGGCTGTGATTTCTAGAGTTTGGAGTATCACTAAAGCATACAGTCTTTGTTTCTGAGGGGGAAATCGTGTGTAAATGCACTGTTTCATTTATTGGCCTTAGTTTTGTCAAGTCAAGTCACCTTTATTTATATAGCGCTTTTAACAATACAGATTGTGTCAAAGCAACTGAACAGCATTAATTAGGAAAATAGTGTCAATAATGCAAAATGACAATCGTAAACACAAAATTTTCAGTTAAAGGCAGTTCATCATTGAATTCAGTGATGTCATCATCCAGTTCAGTTTAAATAGTGTCTGTGCAATCAAGTCGACGATATCGCTGGAAATGAAGTGTCCCCAACTAAGCAAGCCAGAGGCGACAGCAGCAAGGAACCAAAACTCCATCGGTGACAGAATGGAGAAAAAACCTTGGGAGAAACCAGGCTCAGTCGGGGGGCCAGTTCTCCTCTGACCTGATGAAACCAGCAGTTCAATTCCAGGCTGCAGCAAAGTCACATTGTGCAGAGGACTCGTCTGGTTCCTGTGGTCTTGTCCCGGTGGTCGTCTGAGACAAGGTCTTTACAGGGGATCTGTATTTTTTGTGGGTGGGTGAGTCAGGTGCTTGCTTCTGCAGGGGTTCTGACCTGCGTATGGAGATCTCAGTCACACCTGAGATACTGCAAAACAAACAAACAAACGAAAACATGCACCTAGATGTGTTACAGCTGTTACAGTGATGTGCATTTACTGATGTGAAATGACATGGACAGCCCATAATGTTTCGATAACACAAGAAGGTTCATTTATCTCTGTTCAAACCTGCATCATCTTTCTTAACATGTTGCCTAATCTTTTGCTAATTACATTGGCGCAGTATGAAATATGAAAGAAAGTCCAGCTGTCACACTTTTTACTTTAGTAAAAAACAAAACAAAAAAAAAACATGGTAAAGAAAAGAAAAAAAGAGCAAAGAAAGAGAAATGGAACAACTAATGACAAAAATGTGACACCTTGCCCTTATGAAAACTACTCTCATGTCAATAATAATAACTTGAGTCAAAAGTCCAGTACACCAAAGCTTGTTTTTCCAGCAGTTGTTTTTGGTTTCAAATATCTATTTTTAAAACACTAAACTAGAATCATGTTTCTGAATTCTGTCCCCCAATGTAAAATTTCAATATTGCCATATTTGTATAGATGAAAAACACAATAGCACATGGATACGATTTTATTTGAAAAGTTGAACTTTGTTCTAAGGACTACCAAAAAGTAGTATACTTCAAGTTTATTTTAGTAAGTATACTTAAGTAAAGTTCAAGTATATTTTTAAGTATACTTTATGTAGTAAGTATACAAATATCAGTGTACTAGTAGTATACTTGTAAGTGTACTGTTTCAATACTCCTTGGGACTAAATTGGCCCACTTTCTAGTATATAAAAGTATACTTTAAGTATAACAGTAGTAAACTTTGAGTACACAACTATTTACATCAAAATGTTTAGTTTGTACTGCAACTATACTGAAAGTGAACTTATAGGTATACTGATAGTTTACTAATTAAATACTTGTAGTAGCATTTTTAGTACACTTTGAAGTATAGTCTCAGTAGACTACTAGTTTAGTAGTTTTATACTGCAAGTATACTCGTAAGGTGAACTTGACATCATACTTTAAGTATACTACTACGTCCCTATTTAGGTATTAATT